GGTAGCACCTGCATCATTCTGACAGGATACAGTACGTGATTGTGTTCCACTTCCACAGGAGACAGAACACTGAAATTCAAATACCGCTCAAATTTACACACATAATTTAATTCAAGTGCCCCCCCCCCCACACACACACAGAAAGGTACAGCAATGTGAAAAAACATGAACATACACAGGTCATTCAATTAAATAGTCATTTTTACTATTGTATAACAAGAGAAGTATGACCTGATGTCTGATATACGTGTTAAAAACCTTCCAAGTTTAGGAGATGATCAGATCAAAATTGTTTATAAGTTATTGTAACCACATAAAATTTTGTGCCAGAGACAACAATTAAAACAACGATATCAACATTTTCCCTTTCTCTATGAAGGCAAAGAAATAGAATTACAGTCCACGAAAAAAGAACTGTAAAGTTGAATTATTACTTACAGTAAGCCAACTACCAGTAACCCATTGTGGAACAGAACAAGATACAAACTGATAATTGATTTTGTATCCTCTTGCTACATTGTTGCTATTTGTTACAAACTTGACTGCCACAGTGGAGCCAGTGGATATCCAATCAGGAGGCAGTGAAGTTCCACAATATCTGGTAGTTAAAGCAGGGTTGCTGTTGTCAGAAAGCTGAATAAAGAAAAAAAACAATGTAAAGCATGAGTGAGCAAGTTCAATAACATTCATGGACAATTTTCATCTGACATCCCTTGATGTATGCGTCACCAGAAATCTATCGCACACGGCATACCAATGACAATTTAAAAAAATGTGAAGGCAAGTACAGGCATGTGGACAGACATAAAAAGCATCACTTTGACAGCTATTCGGCGCCATGTTGTTGAATGGTCGAAAGTTCGTATATGAATCCATGAGTGAACCGATGCTTGAATTCACAAAAATCCGTGTTCACACACATCTCATCTCTGTGTTTAAAGCAGTGAGCCAAGACCTTTCACACTGAGCTAAACTAGCCCAGGTGGATATCTCAGTTGTGTAATTTTGAATTTGTTATAATTACGTCTTAAATTAGTCTAACAATGTACTTGCATTATTCATTTTTTTTTGGAGAAAACAAGAGTACATGTATCTGGATATTCAAATGATCATCCGGGGCATAACTTGGATGTAACAGCATTATTTTTTTTAGCAAATTTGTGCCTTTTCTACTGTGTGGGTTAAACTCTTGCTAAATTTGCAGATGGCTATTTGTATCCTGGTAAATATATGCTCTTGAAAAAAAAAAATTTTTAACTACCATGTTCGTTTTCATGGTATTTGTTTTTTCTACCAATCATTTTTTGTGGTGGTTGATGTTTTAGATGAATACAGTAGTTAAGATGCAACAGCAGATGGACAATAGGAGTTTCAATAATATGAATATCCCTGATATGTCATTAATTGATTATGTGAAATACAATATGAAAAAAAATTTACTAAATAACTAGTATAGCAATGCATAATTACTTATAGAAGATAAAAGACCAACATATGATTTGTTTAGAATTAAACTTACTTCAAGGTAGTCATTGTCACAGACACTTGACGTAGATCCCAACTGAATATCCATAGATACAAACATGATTCTGATACACTGACTCTGCAAATCACAATGCAACAGTGCATTAAAAATTGTGACCACTTGTTATGATTGGCAATGTTGTTATATTACATTAATATTTCATTAATGGCAGATGTCATGCGTTTAATCTAAACATCAATGATAACATTTTGTGCCACTTAAGATACCGGAACTACAAAATACCATGCAAAGCTGATTGATTTTCAGTTTCCCTGCACTCCAAAATAAAAACATATCTGGCATACATGGTTGGAGCAAATCACTTGCACATGGGAGTAACACAGCAGGTCACATCAACATAGTACAAACACTTTTTTTAAGGAAATTTTTAAGTTTTGCTCCTGGATTTTTTTTGGTGACATTTTACAAAACAAGCAGCCTCTCGGCTGAAATAGCTCTGCTGTTAGCAATGCACATTTCAATTAAAGAACTGAAGATATCATTAGAAAATAAACAATATGTATAGTATCAATGCAATGGGACTTGCTCTTTTCAACAAGAATTCGACATTCAGTAATATGAAAAGCTCTGCCCGAGGCAATACAAATGAGCCCAATTTGGATTGACTGCCTACCTGAAGACTGAGAATAGTATTCATACAATCTTCATTGTTATCATACAGAGACACACCATCATAGTTGGGTGATGTTAACTCAGCTGTACTACTGTCAGTTATAACACGACCACAGTCTGCAAACAAAAATATAATACAATGTTATTTTTGCATGCATGTTCAATAATGAAAGTAGCTACAAACAAGCAGCCTGTCAGCTGAGATAGCTCCGCTGTTATCAATGCACATTTCAATTAAAGAACAGAAGATATTAGAAAATGAACAATATGTATAATATAAAATGAAACAATATGTTTAATATCAAAGCAATGGGACTTGCCTGTTTTCAACAAGAATTCAAAAATATCACTTTTCATCAAAAATGACAAAAATATTCACCAAAATTAGAGAATTGAAGATATCATGAAATGATCAAATCTGAGAGAGGTCTACCCAAGGTACATATACACAAAGTATCAAAGCATTCAGGCTTGTAGTTTTCAAGAAGAAGCCGAAAAAGTAAAACATTGACACAGACGACAACGGACAATCACTCATATGATAAGCTCCGCTCGACGAAGTCTACAGCGGAGCTAAAAAAACACAATAAGGTTAAGAGTATGCAGCATTATTCAGACAGTCGAACTGATGCATCATTTGTTAACATTTTTGCAAACCAGTCAGTGGAAAACCCGGAATGCGAAAACTCATTTTCAGAACATTTAGTTTTTTCTTGTTATGATAGTGTCATTATTTCCTGACAAGTAGATCAGAGACATTGAGAACTTGTTTGTATTATTCTGTAATTTGTACAAGATGGTATGATAAATCTACTAGACACCTTTTAATTATTAGGATATTCCAGGAACAGTTTTGTACAATGCTGCTAAATACAGAGAGGAATAACATGAAGTTGTGGCAGCCAGTATTAACAAGCTTGTTTTCTCCGTCACACACATTTCCATGCTTACAAGTACATCTTCAATGTACAACAAGACTACTAAATAATAACAGTTGTGTTGCATTAGTTGAGCCAGAGTGCAAAGGTATAGTGTAAAAACTACACAAAAATTTGATGGATTAGGAAGAACTATAAAGGCACTACATAAACAAAGTACAATGACCATATCTGAATCCCTCCTAAATTTCTGTCTGCATGGATGGCAAGTAGATTCAGATCTCTCACAGACAATCTATCCAATTGGTCCTCGTCTCATGAATACTGATTAATCCACAATAAAAGGCTAATTAAATTAGAGATCGTTTTCACTACCATCTTCAGAGTATTGCCTTTAAATTGGGAAAAAAGACGGAGGTTTCAGGGTACAAGGAATTGCTAAATCAATTATACTATCACTCACATTGTATGCAGAGTTGAGTATTGCAGACTTGGGATGTGGCAGGCTTGGCATCAGTACAACTGGATTCTTGTACAACAACCTGGGTTACCACATCAATACAACTCACAACACGAGATTGAGTACCACCACCACAATCTGCTGTACACTGTAA